CATATATGAAGATTCTAATGTATTGAAGAAAGGTTATTGGAAGATCTTAGGCTATTTGAATACTCTAACTACTAATACTCCGGATAAACTGGAGCTCTTTGAATGCAAGGAGGTCTCACGAAAATTAGATCAAAGTGATCCTTATGATGCATCTGCTACTGATTTTGAATACCTAAATCTCCATCATAAAATGATACAGTGCCGAATGACGTCAGTACATCGAATGTACGGTATGCAAAGTAGGTGAACGAAACTACTGGCTAAAACTGAACATACTGAACTGAATGAGAAAATCTAAAGATAGACTAAAATAAAGAACTGATTAGTATAAAAATTAGATTTTCAGCTGAAAAGCTGGGAAATATGCTAAAACTGATTAACTGAAGCATGATAGGTGGATATTTGAATTTGAGAAAAGAAATACATAAAGTAGCATGCAATTATTTTTAAAACACTTCCATCATCTGATGATGTAAAAACTATTTTGATGACGTGAGTTGGAAACATGTCTAAAACTGTAAATTTGAGAAGTCATTATGTCTATGACTATAAATAATCAAATCAGCTTCAGCGATAAAATATATAAAATCTTTTAGTGGGGAGTTTCTTTCAACCAACATATATCACATGAGTTCATGATGTCCAACAGCTAACCTAGTTGAGAAGGCTGCCCTAAACCTTGCCAGGGTATATAACCTATCTATCTATGTGGATCCACTAGTGAGCCTCTTGGGCTAAAGGAGTTGACCGACTAGCGGTATACTCAAATCCCACGGTGGCACATAGTTATGAGACCTCATTTCCCAAATCTGCATTCTCTTGACGCTCACAACTATTTAAAAATTATATCTGTTTGTAAGGAAAATTTGTAAACTTTCATAAGCAATCTATCACGATCCAAGAGACGATTCCGAACCATTTTGAACAATCATACCACCTTCATTGGAATCAACCAAGCCAAAACCCAATCAGGTCAGTCTATGGACATCACATACTAGCTCTTTCTTACCATCCTCAACATGATTAACACTACCACCGATAGTCGACTAAGAGCATTGACCACCATATTAGCTTTACCCCAATGATAAAGGACACTCATGTCATAATCTTTCAATAACTCGAGTCATCTCCTTTGGTGAAGATTCAAGTCCTTTCGGGTGAACATGTATTTAAAGCTCTTATGATCAATGAACATATCCACATGAACACCATATAGGTAACGTCTGCGAATCTTAAAGGCGAAAACTATTGCCGCTAACTCCAAGTCATGAACCGGATAATTCTTTTCATGCGCCTTCAATTGCCCGAAGAATAGGCAATAACTTTCCCATGTTGCACCAAAACACAACCAAGACCAATATGTGAAGCATCATAATACACCGCAAAACTATCCGATCCTTCTGGCTATGTCAAGATAGGGGATGAAGTGAGTCTATCCTTTAATTCTTGAAAACTCTTCTCACAAGCTTCCGACCTTAGAAATTTCACCTTCTTTCGAGTCAACGTCATCAAAGGCTAAGCAATAGAAGAAAATCCTTCCACAAACCTTTTAGAGTAACCGGCCAAACCCAAGAAACTCCATTATATCTGAAGCGGATAGAGGTCTAGGTCAGTTTTTAACAGCCTCAGTCTTCTTAGGATCAACTTGAATACCATCTCCGGAGACAATATGGCTAAGAAAAGCAATGGACCTCAACTTTCTCCGATACTGCCCATATGTTATTTGGCACTTCTAAATAGGTGTACTTTTTCTTGATAACTGAGAAATTCTCAAGGGCAAGTGGGGCATACAGCAGATAATAGGTCCGCCATCTCCATTTTCCCCTTACATACCAAGCTTTGTCTTGCAGCGGTGTTTGAACCCGTGATGTGTGGATTATGCCTTCTTACCACTAGAGCAAAGCCTTGGGGCCACTTGTAAATGGGTTTGCTTTGTATTCATCATATTATCAAGTCATCAACACATCATCTGCTCTCTTAGTTTTGCAAATAGCTTGTGGATTATGTTCTGATGTTTTGCAATTTTGTAGAGACGTAGACTTGACTGAGAAGCTAGACTATTCGTCTGCCGTTGCATTGTTGGGTTTTTCTCTCATCCTGGCTGTATTGAGAGTCTTTAGTGTGACAGCTGAGGCAGCAAGAGTAATGGTTTCTGCTCCGCTTGTTGCATTTGTGACAACCCACATCTTGTATCTTAACTGTTACCAGCTTGACTATGGTATGTCCACTTGACAATTACTTGATATAAGATTTTGCATGCTCATGATAAAGTGTGCCTTGTACAATCTCCGTCTAATTGAAAAACAACACAGCCAATAAGTTCGAAATATATACAAAATTAGTTTGTAACATCAATCAACACTATTAGTTTCCTAAACATGTTCTATTTTACCTCCTTTATCTTTCTTATTTGAATTTTTGACTTTGTTTATTTCTCAATGATCAGCAGTATCACATATTTGAAAGATTTTGGTTCTATTTCCTGTTGATATAATTATGGGATCAAAGCAATAATTATATACTAATAACAAAAATATTAGTTACTCCATAGTTAAGAATAATTGTTATAACTGAACTAATTACCATAACTTATTACATTCTGTGGCCTAAATCTGTTAATAATATTTGTAATATCACGAGGTCTAGTCATGAGTTTATGTGTAGTACCTTTATAATTAAAAAAACTGTAGGTTCGTCTAATTTAAGGTGCTTGTGAATTATTTTTTGACAGCCGTAAGTGTGATGGAAAAATAAGTCATGCCAAAAATAAATGATGATAAGAAAATGCAGAGACTATTGTTGCAATTTGTGTATGAACTGAAGAAATAAAATATGCTACAGACAGCTGAATTTCTTCTGACTTCCAATTTTAATTGTTGATACTTGCCTTGTGTCACTTTTTTGAAGTAACAATACTGTATGATTGTCTTGGCTCTTTGGATTTCATCGATGTGTCTCAAGTGTTGTAGAGTAGGAAAGCTGATGTTGCTGATCACATTGCAGGGTTAAACATGAAAGTCTGTTTGGGTATGGGAATTCTGCAGCTCATCTTATGGGCTGTCTGGGCAGGGGTTACTCGCCATCCATCACGCTGGAAATTATGGGTGGTAGTGATTGGTGGAGCTCTTGCTGCACTTCTTGAGATATATGACTTTCCTCCCTATAGAGGATTTGTGGATGCCCATGCTCTATGGCATGCCACCACCATTCCTCTGACCTACTTGTGGTGGAGCTTTGTGCGGGATGACAGTGAATTCAGGACAACAACTCTCATCAAGAAAGCAAAGTAAATTGAAGAACTGTGTGCTACGTTCTAATTGCGAATGTGTATGAAATCATTTTCTTGTTTAGGTCTTTGTCAGTAGTCAGTCACTAGGTTGTCCTTTTTTCTCGCAATGTGCATTTGTACTAGATGTCTAATCATGCGAGTTTCTCTATTTCTAGCTTCAGTAACATCTAGGTCAGACTCGTTCTTTTGATTGTCACCCTCGTCTCCTGTAGTTTTGTATTAACATTTTACACTCTGTCTGTGGCTTGAACTTCACTTGAGCTAGGTCGCAAGATAAATTCATTTAAATCTCCTTGATTTGGATAACGTATAAGGTGTGTTTTCCATAATTTTCATGTTCTGTGAATCAAGTTTAATATTCTCACTGGACATTCTTGTAGGTTGCTGTCTGAGGTCACTTTGTTTTCATGAAATACTAACCTTTGGTAGTTGTACATTATTGTGAAATACTAGTACTACTCTTTGCTATACCATATTGCCAAATAATTTCTGGTCAGGTCCCTCTAAGATGTCAAGATTTCAGATCCTGCTATTTCAATTTAGTGGTGATATTCATAGATTTCAAATCCCTAAAGCAGTTTCTGTAATATTTACAACCTACATTCCTAAAACCAGCTGGCTTCTTAGTCCTATTTCTGTTGATAGTTTCGACTTTGGAGCAGCAAGTCCTTCATGCAAGTCAGTTATGCTGGGCCTCTAAGAGGATTTTGATCAAAAGGAAATTTAGGATGACCCAAATTTTATTAATTTTATATATAGACCCTTTTTAGGATAAGTGATAATTAATGAGAAAACTATATAAATCTCACCCGACAAATTTAAAAAGTGAGATGCATGTTTAAGACGTTTGAATTAAATTGGTGTAAATGATTTCCTTAATTAAAAAAGTTATTGACTATTCGAACAGATTTTCAGCATCCCAGCGTATAAACTATATCAAATTTTCTAAATATTATGATTTCATAAAATCAGAATAATTGTAAACTTCGTCTTCTTAGAAGTAAATTGTTTTTATTTCTTTCCTTTAACTACATGTTTCTATATGTTTATCTTCTAATATATATATATATATATATAATGGAGCTTCGGCGGTGATTTGAGTGTTACGATGAAAGGAGTTTGGATGGTGGAAGTAGTTGAAAAATATGGAGAGGGGAAAATGAACATTGAGAGTTAGAAATGGTGAAGAAGAAGGAAGAAGAAAGAAGTAAGGGGGTGGGTGGGAGTTGGGTACGGGGTAAAATAAAAATGTGTCGACATTTTTAATTTTAATTTTAGAAAATGCAATTTGAATTAATTAATTAGTGTAAATTAATTTTAAAGAAATGCTAAAGAAAAATGATGAAAATAACTAACGACATGATACTGATATGTTGTTGTGGCACTTACATGGCTATGATGTGACAAGTGAGAAAGGAATAGTAATCTCAGGGTGGTTTTTAATTCATTTTGAAGATGTTAAGAGAAATATTTAAACGCCCGTATAGTTAAAATGCTAAAGTTAGTTTTCGAACCAAATTCAAAATTTCTTTTTATGTCTTTTCCCTTTAAAATAAAAAAAATAACAAATAATGAAAATAAATTCCACAAACTCTTCATATTGACAATGTCCTCCCCGCTTATTCAATACAGTCTAAGAACCACAATATATTAGTTATACGTTATTAATTCTAAATCTACAAAATATAAAATATATTGAAAATTCTAAGGATAGATGAAATATAGCTGTTGATAAATTAGATGAACTTGTTCACTTTGTTTCATTCAAATATTGTTACTACGCATTTACCTATACATGATTTGTACCATTAAAATACTGACTATTAAAATCTTGTAATTATATAGAATAATTCCATAAAGGCATATAAGCGTGCACATCAGCTAATTCAACGTAATGGTCTCCGATCTCTAAACATTGGGGAGGAGGTAGCATGAGTCCTTCTGCCATATTTGCAAGTAATCCTGGCATGGAAAACAGCGCTTCCTCATCCACGAAGTCACTACTCTCTTGCACATTTTCTGACGTTTCAGGAGATTCTCCTGAAACTTCTTCCGATCGAAAGATTTCGGCGGCCTCAGCGGCCGCCTTTTGAATATCTTTAGAGTTGGAGGAAGCAGGGATAGGCAACCTCCAAACTGAATCAGCGAAATTCAAACAAGCAGAACGGCCTCTTAATGCTATAGCCGCCACGTCATGAGCTCTAGCCGCCATTTCAGCCGTAGGAAAAGTACCAAGCCAAATCCTTGTCTTCTTATTTGGTTCTCTGACTTCACAAACCCATTTTCCTGAATTCCTCTTCCTGATTCCCCTGTATACTGGATGTCGAGTTTCTCGAAACTTCTTCCTGCCAGCTGGCTTTTTCGGGTTATTCGAAGCTAAAATAATAACTTCCTCATTAGGGGAGTAGTGATTGAGATTATTAGTATCAGATATTGATAATGACGATGATAATAATGATTCAACGAAAGAATTTGAATAATAGGATTCAAAGATATCCATGATATGATAATACTATTTTGACGAGAGAGTAAAATATAGTAGTGTACGATGGATGGACGTTTTTGGGTTTGTGGTGAATTATGAAATTGGATTTTCTCAATGCATATATATAAAACATATGATAAGTGAAGTGTTGAATTTAAAAAAGTTCGGTATTACACGGAGTTGGATAGTGATAAGTAGACAGCTGTTTTATAGTCTCAAGTGTGTATAATTCGTGTAGCCTTTCTGCTGATGTGGCAAACTTTCTACTTTTTGCCTATCCTTCTTCCTTCCTTCCTAACTAAAAGGAATAGATCTCATCTACAATATTTGTACTGGGTTCTCGATCTCAATATACGTGATATATTTTTAATTTTAAAATTTAAATAAATATATTTTTGATTATTAAATTTTATATTTTAAATATTTTTAAAATATTAATTGTTATAACTTATAAGTATTTTTGTATATTGTTTACAAATATATTAAATTTTAAGATTTCGTAAATTGAAATATAAAAGAGTAATAAACTATTTTTGTCTAAGGTCCACATGAAATATATATTGACTTCAACAAGTCTTCTTGCTCATTAGGCTAGTTATATTCACGTGATTAATAAAGTGTGCATCTAATTTAATACTTCATCCGTTTTATAAAAATTGGTTTAGTTTAACTTGACACGAAGTTTTAAAAAATAATTTTTTTGATCATGTAGTGTTAATTTAAAGTTATGTCAAATGTATAAAACTACACTTTAATATTATGGCCTTAAACATGTCACGTGAAAAGTTGCTAGCAAAAAAAAAATCATATTTTTTTTAAACAGAATAAAAAGAGGAGATTTTTTTTAAAATTAAAGGAAATAAGTATTATTGGGAAAAAAGAATTGGACTTAGACATGGAATGCATTGTTAATCTGTCCCTAAAATAATTGCTTGTTATATTCACCAATAGAAACTAATGTTATACTTATTTACTAACATAACTTCTATAGTCACACAAATATTATGTTTTAAATCATAAATTTTATTTTTTTATTTTATAATACTTCGTATAGTATTTATTAGAACTGTGTTACTTAAATTAGAATCAAGAAACTAAATAATTTATAAGAAATTCTAACTATCTTAACCTAAACCTACGAAAACTTTGTGGAAAAATAAAATTGTACACGAATGAAGGAAAAGAACAAGTCAAAATAGTGCGTACAAAGAGGAGGCAGTAGTACAATAAATGGCATTCTAGATAGATAACGATAGGCTAAAAGCTATATTTGGAAACTTTCCTATATTTCACTCTACTCATTACTCATATTTTATATATTACAGTTTTAAAGTGTTTATAAACATGAAAAAGTTATATCTTATTTATTTTGTAATTTCATAATACTGAAATTTTTCAATGTTGAGACAAATAACTTTGGAATTGAAATTGAAACTTTAATTTGAATATGGTTGACTCATATTGAGCACCCCTTCATTATTTTTGAACGAAGGGATTATATATTTTTAGTTTTCTTAGTTTTTAAGTAAACAAGTTTTTTCAATATCAGATAACTTTGCTTAGATTGGATTCATAAAATTAACATTTAGATACTCAGTAATTACGAAAAATAAGTTAGAAATTGTAATTCTTCAATACTCGGAATGGCAAAAAATATTGAACATTGTCATATCACTCCACACTTCATTTATTCAAATATGACGGCTTGAAATTTGCAACGCTAATCTTTACTTCTCACTACTGCCAAAACCAAGTCATCCCATTGACACGTGTCATTATTTGGTGGCACTACTATCTACCTACATGGTTCGGTACAATAAGCAGATCCCTAAATTTGTTCGATTTTTTTATTTTCAGATTCCTTTACTACGTCATTTTCCTATTGAACCATTGAATCCCCATAATTTGTTCTGTTTAAACAAACACTGTTGTCTGATGTGGAACCAGATTTGTGAAGATTATTGATAGAGAATAGATATGTTGTTCCACAACTCATTAATCCAATTGATAGTGAAAATGTTCAAGAATAATTGTGTTTTACTTAAGTCATTTGAACACATTAGAAAACAATTAAGATTAACACGGTTTGTCTTCATTCATTTAATCAAAATTATTACAATTCGAACATTATTGAAGACATTTATAATAAAAAAGTCGATCAAAATCAACCAACAGTGTTTTAAAGAAACAAATTATGTGTAGTTCAATAATCAATAGAAAAATGATGTAGTTGAGGTACCTGAGTAAAAAAACCCAACAAGTTTCTGTTCATGTTCATGTATTTGGCCAAAATAAAAATACTAATAATATACATTCTTAGTATCTAAATACTGAATACCAAAAACTAACAAAATCTTCTAAATCCTAGTAATTTGATAAATTGTACTACTATTTTAGATAGAATAATTCCATAAAGTTATCATGTAGGCATCAGTTTCCACACAATGATCTCCCATTTCTGCACATTGAGGTGGAGGTAGCATAAGTCCTTCTGCCATATTTGCAAGTAATCCTGGCATGAAAAAGATCGCCTCCTCATCCACGAAGTCACTACTCTCTTGCACATTTTCTGACGTTTCAGGAGATTCTCCTGAAACTTCTTCCGATCGGAAGATTTCGACGGCCTGAGCGGCCGCCTTTTGAATATCTTTAGAGTTGGAGGAAGCAGGGATAGGCAGCCTCCAAGCAGAATCAGAGAAATTCAAACAAGCAGAACGGCCTCTTAATGCTAAAGCCGCCACGTCATGAGCTCTAGCCGCCATTTCAGCCGTAGGAAAAGTACCAAGCCAAATCCTTGTCTTCTTATTTGGTTCTCTGACTTCACAAACCCATTTTCCTGAATTCCTCTTCCTGATTCCCCTGTATATCGGATGCCGTGTTTCTCGAAACTTCTTCCTGCCAGCTGGCTTTTTCGGGTTATTCGAAGCTAAAATAACTTCCTCTTCAGAAAACGACGATGACGATGAAGAAGAAGATGATTCGGTTAAAATTAACGAGTCTGAATAATAGGTTTCAAAGATATTCATTGTTGTTGAGAGCTAAAAATAGAAAGTATTTGTATAATTGTTGAGTTAAAGAAGTGTTATGTGTTGGTTACATATATTTATAGTGGAAAGTAGAGTATGATAGTGAAAGGAGAAGAGAACACGGAGTGATAATTAAAGGATACAGGCTGGATTATAAAAGCGTAAGCCCAGCTGTTTTGTTTTATGGGACAAGTGGATTTGCGTACAACTCGTGTGGCAACTTGTGACTTGTAAAACTTTTCCTCTTTACTTCCTTTTTGGAATATATACTGACCAATCTTTGTCATTTCAATATGATAACATTAAAAAAAATAAAAAAAATTATTCTTGTTGCATCTATTTTATACCATCTATCTCGTCATCACCAATTTTTTAAAATTGAGAGATAAATCTTTGGAGATTCATTGAACCAATAGTTGTCAAAGGAAAAGGTCAGCATTCATCAACTTCTTTTTTAAACTCTCTTCGTCTCTATTTATTCGACAAATATTTTCTAATCTAATTTCCATTTTTACTGGTCACTTTTAATAAATTAAGAAAAAATATTTTTTTTTCTGATTATACCCTAAATTTGTTAAGATTGAATTAGAATTGGATTCATTGGAAGGCCAAAAGCGTTTTTTTTTCCTAGAAAAAAGTATGTTTTTTCTTTTTGAAAAATCAAGTGTTTGCAAAAAGTAAGAAGCAGTTGTTCTGTTGTTGGGAAGAATCTAAAAGTTCTGCTTCTTAAAAAAATGAAACAGAGAAGAAAATTATTTTTTTAAGATTAAAATGTCTCTTCCATACATACATATTTACCTATATATCCCTTATTAATTAATTAGCATATTTTATGAGTTTGGTTAAGTTTCATTCCAAAAAAAAATTACTATTTTTTATATATAATAAATTTTTAATTTTATTTTATGTTTATATATTATTATTTATATTTTATGGACTTTTCTAATGTTGGGAAGTAGCTGAAAATACTTGAAATGAGAAAATAACATAACTGAGGACAATAACTATATCTAGAGATTCAAGCTTTGTAGAGGAGAAATTAGACTAGAATAGAATAGTTAAAAATAATAGGAGTAACAAAATATGAAGGGAATGAAAAGGGGAGTGTGTGTGTGTGTGAGAGAGAGTGTGTGTTATTTCTATTTTAGGAGACTAGATATAAACCCAAGTATATTTTATTAGATTTATAATTTTATTCCAAACTATTATATTTATAAGTACCCCAACCCTAAAAGTGAAGTTTGAGTTCCATAATGACAAAGATATTTTTGACCAATTTTAGGATAATCTATTCAAATAAAAGGTAAATATGTAAAGTTTCATAATGAAAGAGATTTTTATAAGTACGATAGTATAATGAAGAATAAAACTAATTAATAAATGAAAAAATTCTTATGATCAGCAAATTTGATCAGAATTTGATTAAAATGATATTTTTTTATATTTTTATTCTTTTATTAAAATAAAAAAAATTATATTAAAATAAAAGAGACGTTACAATTTTTTTAAAATTTCTGATTAAATTTTGTTGATCATTTAGCATTGTTCATTATCATACTACTGATTATTGAGAATCTTTGAAAAGATAGTGGAAGGTGAAGGGTAAGTTGCCGTTCTATTCTTAGGCCAATATATATATATATATATATAGCCGCCCCCTACTTGATCCAATTGAAAGATGAGTTTGAAAATTGACCTTTGAAATGATTATATGTATATGTATGAAGTCACAAGTGAACTAAGTACCAATTTATAACTGATTAAAACTCAACACACGCTTTTGACGGTTAATTATATCATCAATTATTGCAACTCCAATAAATTACTTTTCATTTTCTCACGCGGGAAATTATACGCGTGGACCACGTGCATCATTTCCAGCATCGATATGCTTGGAATTGGATTAGTACCACAATGTTGAGACATATATATATCTCCAAACTATTTGAATTGTCTCCATTGTTATTTCATTCTAGAAAGTTCTACAATTGTCATTACTAATAAAATTTGTATCATAGGCGGACACACGTGTAAAATTGAGAAACATGTGTACATGTTAAACTTTTAAAAAAATAATTATATGTATATATAGATATATTTATTTTTGAAAATTTATAAAAATTATGATATAAGCAATGTTCTTTGATTGATTGTGACATAGTAATCGGCTTGAAAAAATACTCCACAAATCTACTTTTTCACTCAGTTGCTTAAACCAGAAGCAAATGCTTTATGCTTTTCTTAGAGTATGTGTCTGTTGTTTTTCCGAAGCTGGTGGAACAACGCATTTAACAGCTTCTTAACCAAATTCAACCATGAGAAAAAACTCTAAGACTAACTGTCATAAAACACACAATAGTCTTATATACGCCAATGATTCTCATTTAGCTTCAACCATTTTGTTATAATAGTATATAGCAATACTAGTAATATCTACATGATCATTACAAATTACAATACTTATACACTAATTCGTACCATATCCAAATATTAAGCACGAAACTAATAAACTTCACTCTTAGCATTGTTACTCCTCTCATTATACTTACTTATTATATAGAATAGCTCCATAAAGGCATATCATCAGCTTCCACATGATCTCCCATTTCAGTACATTGAGGTGGAGGTACCATTAATCCTTCCGCCATATTCGTAAGTAAACCCGGCATGCAGAATAACGCTTCCTCATCCATAAAAAACATATCATCTGGAGTAGTAGATTGATCTTTAACCACTGATTCTTCTTCCTCCGACTTTAAAGGTCGGAAGATTTCGGCGGCCTGAGCGGCCGCCTTTTGAATATCCTTAGTGTCAGAGGAATCTGGAGTAGGCAGCCTCCAAGCAGAGTCAGCAAAATTCAAACAAGCTGAACGTCCTCTTAATGCTATAGCCGCCACATCATGAGCTCTAGCCGCCATTTCAGCAGTAGGAAAAGTACCAAGCCAAATCCTCGTCTTCTTATTTGGTTCTCTGACTTCACAAACCCATTTTCCAGAATTCCTCTTCCTCACTCCCCTGTACACTGGATGTCGAGTTTCTCGAAACTTCTTTCTGCCAGCTGGCTTCTTCGGATTATTTGAAGCTAAAATAACTTCCTCGTCAGAATGATTGGCTCTAATACTGTCAGAAAACGATGAACAAGATTCTATACGTGGGTCCGAATAAAACATATCGATTTATATTTTTGTTTCTTTCTTTAACTAGTGATATTTATGATGTTAGAGAGTTTAATTGTTATGGTAAAATGTGAAAAGTTTGATTTCTATATATAGTTGAGACCAAAGAACACGGAGTTAGAGGGTGGTGATAAGTAGACAGGCTGTTATTAAAAAATAGAGTGGGGCAGCTGTTTTATATGACAGCTGGAGTGGGGCTGTGGGTTTAAGAAAAGTTAAGTTTCAACTTCCAAATCTTCCGTGCGTCTAACTTGGCATATTTTTAGTTTTTTTCTGTACTTTGATACTTCCCTTTTGGAATATATTTGTACTTATCTTGGAAAAATACTTGAGTTACTACTTAACAATATTGACGTTGACTAATAAAAATAATAAATTGTGTTGTCACTTGTCAAGTCAAATGATACTAGAAGAAGACAAATTAATTTGGTAGGTGAAAAAAATAATCACGAATGGCGTACTAATATATCAAAACAGAGTACATTCTTAAAATTTGAGTAAATAAATTAAAACTTTCATCAATCTCTGTTGAGGACAATAATAATAGAGAGACATGAAAATCGAAGAGGGAATTAATCAAATGAGTCTTTTTTTAAATAAGAAGAAGAAATCAGTGTATGGATATGTGGGTTTACGGATTTCTTTTTGAAATTACGGGATGAAATTTCAAATTCTCCATTTAGAGATTTTTGAAATATAAAATAGATCTACGAGTTTATATTTTGTATTTAAAAATTACATTCATATCCTGTTTTGAGATTTTTCAAATATTAAATGGAGCTAAGAGTTTATATTTTACATTTAAAAATCACATTTATACGTACTAACCATTTATTTCATATGTAAATAAAATTTATGATTCATATCATTACTTTTTAAATCATTTATATCTCATATAACGATTATTTTTATCAACACAAAATTTATTATTACTTCAAAATAACTAATACTTTATCATTTATATTAACCAAATTAATTATTTTGCATCAAATTTATCTAAAAACTTATACACAACTTATATTTAATTTTATCTTTAATTAAATTAAAACTTGATCATAAATGTTATATTCTTAAAAAAAATCTTTATAACAACGCATTATAATATTTTATAAACTTTTTTTAATTGATAAAATTATATGAAAAATTGAGATAATTTTAATAATTCTACCATTTATAAGTTTTTATGTGTTTAAGAAAATATAGAAGATAAAAATTTAAAAAACAAACAAGGCCTGATCAATTGGTTAGGATGCAATTGTCACACGAGCAATGCCTCCTCTTTCGTAATTTCAAATATATTGAATACATAATTCACTTTTAATACATATTACAGTGAATATATTAACACTATTAGATAATTTATGCAAGCTCAAATTTTTAATGTGATTTTTTCCCTTCAAAGTTGTAGCGAATAAGGCCTCTAATTACTAAAAGGAAATGAAAATTGAATTATTTAGTTATATCTAATCTCATAATATTTAAAATAAAATATTACTAACATGCAAGTTTGATAAATTGTGTATAAAATTTGAAGAAACATAAATAACTCGAACTGTAACTCAAAATTGATCAACTGACCCATTTATCTTACTTCAACAGAACGACACGTAAAATCTCCAAAATCTAAACCTGCCTCTACAAACAAAACAATACTTCAACTTTTTTTCATAATGTTATTTCATAATTTCATATTATGTTTTTAAACTTTGTAGAACTCAAGGGTCCCCTAGGAATGACAATAAGACGGTGCGGAGCGAGTTGAGCTTAACCAACAAAACTTTTAATTAGTTTCGTTCGCAACGTATAACAACCTTTTTTCTTTTCACCTCGTCCAACATAGACCCGTTCCACATAATTTTTATAATATTTTCTTTATTCTAGTTAAGTTTAATACTAAAAATAAAATTCATATATATAAATTCATTTTTCATTAAGTTGTATTAATTAAATAGGAGAGTAGCTTAAGAAATTTTATTCTTTTTGTTGAATAATTTTTATTTATTATCTTAAATATTTTAATAGATTTAAACGAAATAATCTTGATAATAATATTCTAGTACACTTATAACATATAAATAAAATTATAATTTTATTAAACTCACGTAAAATCACATGTAATCGCTATCCACCTATATTAACTTCTTTTAAAAAAATCTATAATTTATCTCACACAATCGTAAATTCACTCAGTCCCGCATAGCTTTAAACTCATCCCGCACCGTTGATATCTAAAGGGTCCCCCGAATGTACGAAGTACGAACACACGTTTTTGACAGTTATTAAAAAATCTACAACTAACTGCCTATCATTTCACCACGGAAACGTGTGGGCCACGTGCGTAGGTGCAGATTCGCATACTCGGTTTGCTATTCTACTCTCCACTAACATACAAAAGTGAGAGAATCTCAAAGATTTATTGTATTCCACTTATAGTAAGATTTTTATATTAAATTTTTAAAAATACTCTCTGTTTTTATTTATTTATTTATATTTTTTTATATTTATTTCTATTTATTTTAACAAATCAAGAAAGAATAATAACTTTTTTTAATATATCCTTATTTAATTTCAAAAAATTTCTAATACTACTAAGTTATAATGCATGTATACGTTCAATATCTATTAATCTTATTTATAATTTTAGTTGCTTATATATTATCTCATTATTCAATATTTATATATCAGATTTGAAGTTAAATATATTGAGATACATAGAATTAATCTAATTAAAATAGAGTGTATGTCTACTTAATTAATTATCTCTCCAATTTAGATTTCCTCCAAATAAGTTCACTCCCTTTTCTATTGTTCCCATCACAAAGTCTATCACCTAATTGTCTTGGGATAATAGTATAGAATAGCAAATTAATAGTGTAAAATAAATATAATAGCTACTGTTTGATTTATTTGTATTTCTTAGTAAACAGTTTGATTTATTTGCGTTCCTTAGCAAACTGTTTGGCAGTGTCGCTTGCCTCTCTTGCTTTATACAATATAATTGTATAAATTGTATTTATGTTTGTATAAAGCGAGAGAAAATTGTATATACACATGCAAATATATATATCTCCGTCCTATACACTCATAATTATGCAATACAAACATTTCTCTGTTCAAGTCTCTTTTGCGTTTTCTCTTTCTCTTTTTATACAATTTGATTATAATTTCTCTATTTCTCGTTTCATACAATTCGATTCAATTGTATATTCCCGCACAAGTCTCTTTCGCCTTTCTCTCTTTCTCTTTTTATACATATTCAAATCGTATATAATTTTTCTCTTCTTCGTTTTATACAATTCGATTCAATTGTATACAAATTTGAAGATGAACAAACAATTATACAATTACTTCTTTGTATATATGTATAGCGAAATGGCATAACTTTCAATTGTATATATATATTTACTATAGAGAGCAATTATGCAAATTTTGTTATAGCATACACATTTAAATTTTGTGCTTGCTATATGCAAAAATTACCCATTCTTTTTGCCATCATTCTTCATCACACTATCTTCTTTAATTTGATTAAAGTTTGTTGACTTTGATTTTTCTTAATCTATTTTAATGGCTAAATATTTTTAATCAAGAGTATTGTTAATAGAGGTACAAAATCATCTCTACTTAGGCGGAATATGAATCATTTATTTCCAATTTTTGTAATGTAATAATAACTTCATCAATTGGCTTATCTCTTAAAGTTGAAGTTGTGGATTTAATGGTGAGAAGATGAACAACAAAGTGATGCTGGTCACTACCCGGAGAGGGGAGAGAGACAAAGGGAAGAGGAGGAATTTATTTTTTTTTATTTTCTTTTTAGAAGAAATTTGGGGGAAAAAATATGTAATTTGCTCGTAAAATTGATGAGTTTTTATTATATTAAATATTTAGATATACATTATTAGAGTGTATCTTTTTGACATATTATATCCAAGTACATGTATTTGAACGCATCAAATATATGTATGTGAACACGCCAAATACATGTATTTGGAGACCAAAATATGATAGGAATAGTATTATCAAAAAATCATTGGTAAATTTGTGTTGTCTGCATGTATTTGTGTGACGATAAATTATCTCATTCTACTTTCTTGAAAACTTAACGTGAAGGGCTCAATAAAATATCCAAACTGAAGCATTTTTCTTCATCGATTGTCAATTTTTCGCTCAAATTAATTTCAAAACTTATACAAAATGTTGTTATGATATACAATAAATTACAATTGAAAAAAAAATGTCAAAAAAATGAATTAAAAAAGTATTCAAATTGAGGCATAGATATCTTGTTCTCTTTAACGTGACATTTGATGCATTTTTATTAAAAATAAAATGTCACAACTAACATAAAAACCAGCAACATTCAAATTAATAAGCTATAACGAAAGAGTATTAATTCAAAATTAAAGGACGTTTACTTGACATATTTTACTTTTTGAGAATAAAGTTACATTAATTTTGATCTATATTTTTTTATATAGCCTTTCTTCATAATAATATAAGAAAATTAGTATAATTTTAAATGTTTAAATATAAAAATTAAATTTAAATTTATGACAAATAATGTGATAAGTAAAAATAAACGATAATACGAATGACTTTTCGATGATACGAGGTGAATTTGATGTGTCTCTGACATTTGTTTTATTTCTTTTTTAGTGTCTTTTCAGGCTGTTAATATACAACTTCAAATACAGGGAAGATTCTTTACCCTACCTCTCACACGTAAGCGCGTGGACCACGTGCTTATATTTCTTGGCCCTTCTTTAGATTTTTCTTCTACTCACTAATCTAATCAATTTATTAAATGCTGAGTGTACTTCCTTTTCCGCGTACGGAAATTTTTTGTTTTTTAGTTTGATATTTGATAGTTTATATATGTTTAAATTTTGATTAATTTAAATTTATATCACATAAAATTTATTGATACAAAAAAAAGCTCACTGTTAGAAATTTATTTAATAAGAAAACGTTTATAAAATTAATATATGAGTTTTCTAATAAATTTAACTTGATAAAATAATATGACTTTATGAATATTCATAAAATATAAACAGTAATAACGGGCATGAAAAGAACTATACATATGTAACACAAAGAAAAATTAAGAGTAATATGATTGTTATTTTAGGTCTTGATGGTTTATATAATGTGACTCAAAGTTATAGTGAAGTATGAATTGAAAATTAAATGTCAAAGACATAAATAGTAAGATGTTGAGATTAATATTTATGTATAGGTAAAAGTAGTAAAATACTATAGACTTAATGGGATATCTGTTTACTCAATAACTAAGTATAAAAAATCAATACCAAATTGATAATCCGATAATTATTTTTTATAAAATCAATAAAAATTCGTTAACCTAATAGCAATAACCAATAACACTTTTTAAATTTAATTTATGATCGATTTAATTTTTTCACACTTCTAATTTTGTTTATTGATTCACTATATATGAAGAAATACCTATTCAATGATTATTTTAGTTATAATGTTGAATTTTTGAAATTTTAGTTTTATAAAATCATACCATACATATATGCATCTTGATTGTGTGATATTATCCGATGATTGGACATAATCAGCGATAGAGCTAGCTTTTGCGCCTAAAGATATGACATGTGAAATATATTGTGTTTATAGGAAAACAAAAAAGCATTGTTTTCTCATTGGCACACTTAGGGTTGAATTATTACGATAAATTTATATATATAAATACTCAAAAATAACCTAGTTATTCTCCATAGCTATAGTTTAATAATTACAATTTGTACCTACATGTTATAGGGAGGAGAGAGACAAACGAGACTCGGAGAGAGAGAGGAGAGAGGCGAGAGGCGAGAAAGATGAATTGTTTATGTATATCGGTTAGATAATAGTGTATTATACATATGACAAGAGAGATTGGGAGAGGGAGGAGAGAGGCGAGCGAGATTGGGAGAGGGAGGAGAGAGGCGAGCGAGAGAGGTCATAGAGTGGGAGAGAGGTGAATTGTAAAAATATATTTGTTAAATAATTATATACTACACATATGCATTTGTATACATAGCAAGCGAGATTGGGAGAGGGAGGAGAGAGGCGAGTGAGATTGGGAGAGGAAAGAGAGATGCGAGTGAGAGGGGGCAAAAAGTGGGAGAGACGTGAATTATAGTATGCATATCGATTATATAGTTGTATATTATACATATGTATTTGTATATTCTGGCGACATATACAAACGTGACTAATTACACAAACTCGAAGTCAGCACACACAAGTAATGTATAATGTTATTCACAAATGGTAATTATAGCAAACTATAGCTAAGATGAGTAATTAAATAGTATAAATTTTCTTAACTGCGTAATTTCCCAATTATGAGATAATTGGGTCAAATTTTTAGTGGATATCCTAATTCCTGGTAAGCCTAGGTGTTAGATTTAGTGTCACGTGGCTTGCTGCATCACTTCTGTTAAGTCTTAATGGTAATTGTGATCTCTTAGGATAATGACAGACACATTTGATCCTGAAATGTAATGGAGAATATAAATTTTCTATTTCACACAGTTTAGGGGGCAATTTTGATCATTTTTCATATTTAAAGAATTATTTAATGTTTATAAATACTTTATGATAAACTTAGTAAAAATTATTCTTTTGTCTTTATAGAATTAAGAATTCATAAACTCAAAATTTTGTTCCGATTATACTCTACATAATATATAAAGTGTGAAGAATTGACTTCTTTATTTGAACAAAAGGGTCTCAATGTTCAAATTGCAATAGAAAAAAAAGTTACACAAGTAATTATTTTTCATCTATCCTAATTTTGATGGATGGATTAATGTGATAATATTTATTGATGGAAGTAGATAAATTTCCTAAGTATAAAAACATATCTTTATAAAAAAATTTAAAACAAATTAAAATTAAAAATTTAATTGAGCATTCTATGGTTTAGATTTCACTTTTACAGTAAGTTAAAAATAGTGAATTAAACATCACAAAAAGAAGAAAAAAATCTGTAGGGATGAAAGAAAAGCAGAGGATGAAAAGTTGCAACGTTGCGACACCGTTGTTCACAAAACGGCAACCATTAGAGCCACACTATCACTCAATTCTCCTTCTTCTTCTTCTTCTCTTAGCTCCGGCCATGAGAATCCTCACTTCTCCTTTCCCAATTTCCCCACCCATCATACCCAGAACTAAATTTCATCAATGCAGAGTTGCCATAAACCCACCACCACCAAACTTCGATTTCAAATCGGAATTTTTCAGCGCCTCTCGGGATGCTATTGAAGATACCCATCCCGAATTGCTCGATTTAGCTGATAATGGAACTCTGTTTCTCATCAAGAAGAACCAATTTGGACCCGTTCCATCATGGAGAACCGAGTTTGTTGAACCAGAGGCTATTTGGCTGATCGGAACGAACCATCTTTCTATGGAATCGCCTCTGCATGTTGAAAGGGTTATCCGCACTGTCAAGCCGGAGAATGTGGTTGTGGAGCTTTGCAGAAGCAGGCAAGTACCTATCTCTGAAATTAGTTGATTTGTCTTCCAACTGTTTGTATAATTGCGAGAATGAAATAACTGATCTTCTTTTGTTAAAATTATCACATCCTGAGAAGCCCCTCTTATGGGGTTACCTTATTGTCTCCATGAGCTATGACTATGCCATTCTTGCCCCTCCTAGTTGCCAACTGTTTGTATTGTGAACTTGTTCAATCTCCATTTTTGTTTAACTTCACTTGTTGCAGAGTTCAGGGCTGGTATCATGTATACTTCTGACGATAGTGATCTCAATCAGCCGTTAAAATCAAACATGTTCTCTTTGAGTGGGAATGGATTTTTCGATGCTGTTGGTCGTAGCATTAACTTGGGTAATTACTAGCCTTTAGCTTTAATGTGCTCTGTATACTTCTGGAGTATGATTTATCAAGCTAGCTATTTGATGTGATAGGGGGTCAAACTGCTCTAGCATTACGCATAGTGCTGGCACTTTTCTCTTCAAAAATGTCTTCAAGTGCTAATCGTTCTTTTGGAGATGAGGTAGTTCTGTGGACTGTGTAAGATGTTCTTCATTTACACTTCAGATATTTCCAAAGTCTTAGTGAAGTTCCGTTTCTGTTTGCAGTTCCGTGCTGCTCGAAAGGCTGCTGAGGATATTGGTGCTCAAATTGTATTAGGGGATCGGCCAATAGAAATAACTGTATGCTGCACTTACACTTAGTCCAATGTAAATTTCCTTTCCTAGGATACTTTTGGATTTTATGAAGTGGTAAAGTTACTTTTGATTTCTAGAGAAAACAATTCTGAGACTTCTTCTTTATATATTGGATGGACTACCTGGTCTTGCATGTAAAGCAAGACAAGTTAATCCATTTGATACTTCTTGTTTCTCTTCAAGTGCGTCTACAATTTGGTCTTACAGCATTACATGTAATGCTAGAATGTTTATTGTTTATTGTTATTAACTTCTGTTGTCAGCTTGAACGAGCATGGACTTCACTAAAATGGAAAGAGAAGACGAGCCTTCTACTCTCTGTCTTTGGCGGAATAACCTCATCCACTGAACTATCAACAAAGGCGTTGAAGGTTTGCTTCTCGTATCTATGAAGTGTTTTCTGAATACTATTGATGATTGTTAATCGTTAACTTTTTCAAGAATTACCTCTTATTTGTACCTCAGTTAGCAAATTAATAGTCTGACAACCTAAGTGGCATCATCGATCATACATGGTTTGCCATCCGTATTGTCTTAAATGCTATAGCAATTACAAAATGGATTAATTGGAGCATGTGCTATAATGACATTGCCTGCTTTAGAAACGATTTACCGTTCAGAGCCTGAAGGACCAGTCCTCCTTCTCCAGCCAACACCACCCAAAAAGCCCAGTACTAAAAGGAGAAAAAATGTTATCTAATCTTCCTTTTGTCTACTATTACTCTATTTTAAGAGCTTTGCCTGTTGTCTGCTGTCATCGGGGGGAAACTATGCTGATAACTACACATGCCATGCCATTCTATCCAATATTCTTGATTCTGTTTTCAATCTTTTCTATGTTGTGACAGGAATCAAGTTCTGATGATAGTAACTTTCAGCTGTATGAGAAATTAAGCTTTTCATATCCATCACTTCTGCAGCCACTCCTACATGAACGTGACACGGTTAGTTGCTCTTCCCTCATGAACAGTCTCTAGTAACTCAGAACGAAATGTTTCATCGTTATTGCTGATGGATATCATGGCAAAAAATGGACACAGTATTTTCAGGCTAAAATTAAAAAAAGAAGTGCTGTTTCACTGATCAAACCTTTTTCTTTTCCCTTTTGCTAGTGATTATCTTTCCTGTTTTTCCATGTGATTGTTCCTTTAGTTTCTTGCTTGGTCTCTGAAGAGGAGCAAAGCTGTGAACAACTGTAAGCAAGTTGTTGGAATCATTGGGAAGGGTCACATGAATGGAGTAATATATTCCTTGGTGTCTGATCAAGGAAACTTGCGGTTTCGAGATCTAGCTGGGAAGAGTCCTTCAGGGGGACTCTCTGGCTGGACAACTACCATCTTTGGAAACCTAGTTAGAGACACTATAATTGGTGTTCTCCTGTGGCTGTTGTATGAACAACTTACCAGTGGTTTGAAGTTGATTGATTAAACAACAGACCAACTTTCGAACTCCTTATGTGATTCACAAACACTCCAGTTATGTCAAACAGAGGAATGAATACTACTATCTGAACAATCATCCTGAAAGAATATTAAACATTATTCTGGTTCTTCATTTTCGTGGAGTTTTGTTTCAAGCAAGGTGGCGAATAAGTCATCGAAGAGTTATGAAAAATGGAAATAATTTAACAATTATTATGTTAAGCTCTTAGATGGTAAATACAACAATATAGTCATGTTTTTTGGGGGATCCTTCTATACAAGAAAATTCATTGATTCTGGTTGGATTAGTTATAAGGAAGATCATTTTCCCACAAAATACTGACTTCTATCAAGTGTTTGGTGATCATAATAATACTTGATGAATCTGAAATATGATTCCTTTGTGGAGATAACTTTTTTTTTTTTCAATTTCCAAAACGTTAAATTTTTTGGTCAAGTCGATCATGGTAATTCTGTTTTTATTATTATTATTATTATTATTATTATTATTATTATTATGTTGAAAATGTTTTATAAGGTGAATTTGATATTAAAAAATGACATCCGGATAAATTAAGTTCTTGCTAAATGCTATGTATAGAAGGATTGGATCACAATGGTCTATTATATACAATTTTGTCTTATATTTCTGGAAGAAATTATTTTCACAACTCAAATTTGTGATCTTTTGATCCAATGAATCTCATAAATAGTTAATATGTTTTTCTTAAGTTTATATGATATTATTTTTCGTTTATGGAATCTCATGAAAATAATATTCTTTTATTTTATTTATTTGAGTGCATAAGTTTAGTATGCATTTATTCATCATTCATAGATATAAATTAAAAATATATTTTAAATATCCAAAAGTTAATTAGGCGAGAGAAAGTAAAATAATCATAATAAAAAAGAAATATGGAATGAAAAGGGCTAAAAGAAGGTTAAGACCATTTATATCAATTGTTTCTAACTAAATTTATTTTCATATATAGTTGAATGGATAAATTGCAATTCCATTCATTTTGTTTTGATCTATCTATTTGACACTCCTACTAAGTTTGATGAAGGAAAATCTTACATCAATACCAATGATTATAGAGAATAACAACCTTTTGATCAAACAATCGTTGAAAAAATCTTATTCATAATTATAAATTATTCGTATGTGTGACTGTATTTTTATTTCTCTGTCTTTTGATAAAGATAGTGAATCAATGAGCCCTAGCAGGGGCTGCGAACTCTATGTTTGATGCAATACATGTGTATTAAATCTCCATCTTTAATTTATGAAATACTCAATTTTAATTTAATTAATAATAATATATTATTTTTAAAAAAAAGGACGTAAACATTAACTTTGTAAATATTTCTAATACACCGTGTACAAATTAGTCATAGTTTGATTTTGTCATGACCCAGATCATCGTGATTGACATTCACATTAATTTTTCCGTGGGAGAACCACTATTACAATCCAAACCAAACAACTAAACCAAAAAACTAAAGTATTTAAGTTAAGAAGCAAGTTAAATAACTAAAGATTGAAGTTTCCATAAACTTTCAAAAGATCTAACAACTAAGCAATGCGAAAAAACGCCTAGAACCCAAAAGTCAATACACTAAAACATCTAAACAGGAAGGGATACAATCCCAAACTAATGAACTATTAACTAATTAGAAAAGTCTAAGTTCGAAATGTGGACATAGACGAAAGGAGAACACATGTCAGTCCGTAAGAATTGGTTCACCCTTGAATTCGATTGACGATCACTGATCTTCTAAACGAGGTCTGTCAATAGTCATTTGAAGATGCCCTGTATTCAACAATGTTTTATTTAAAGAAAATATATTTTATTGTTTGTTTTAGACTTGGTTTTATAATCGCCACTTAATTTTTGAGAAAAATCAAAAAAACTGTTCTTCCAATTGACTAAACAGGGAATCAAATTGAATGAGTTTAAAGGGGGTTCGGGGGTTCTTATTAATATTTTAGAAAGGTGTTTAAGGCACCTAAAATACCCACTAATGTTGTTGTCCGACAACAAAAATGTTTAGCTAAACTATCTAACTTGATTTTGAGAATGAAAAAAATTATTTAGAGTTGTTTGAAAGTGATTTATTTAACTCGCAAAATTTATTCATTATCATTTTTAAGTCTATTTAAAGGCGATCGATTTAGTTTAAAATAGTTAAAACATAAAGGCGTCTTGCAGGGGACTTGGACCCTTTTAACCTAAAACTAACGACACAATTTTAACAAGTAAACAAAAGTAGTAAAACAAAGAGGAAAGAGAGAGAGAGAGTTGAGTCCAAATCCGGATTCTGTCCGTCTGAATCGGTATTTGGACCATTTCTTTTTGT